TACATGTTTTTTATAAAATTAAAAAATTATATGTTCTCTTACCTAGGAATAACAACAGTAATAATAATAATGTATAAATACTTTACATGACTTTAACAGCTTTTAATCTAGNTTAGATTAACAAAAATGCACATCAATGTAGTATATTACCTAAGTGTGACTCTGTGGATGTCTTTTTCAAATATCCAGAAAGTTCAGTCAAAGTAGAAGAAGCAAGTGAAGAAATTAAGACACATAAATTTGAGAGAATGTTTGACTTAACATGCATTAGACTTACAGCATGACGTCCATGTAGATTGCAATGAAAGGAAAAATTTTATACTGTTAAAGTGTAATGGAAATCATATTGATTCACAATATGATAAATAATAGTTTCAATTTAGTTTAATTATTAGTATGTTATATTATTCTAAGATGCCATTAAATAATCAATTGATCTATATTAAATTTATTAAAGTAACATACTGACAATGTGAAACAGTTATTAGTTTTACCTTAATATTATAAATTCTGTAAATTAATAATGATTAAAATTAGCTAATGTTTTGATGTTCCTACCATACTTTCGTAAGAGCCAATCATCAGGTACTCGACAATATTTGCCAGTAGCATCCACATCACCTAACGATGATATTTTTGTGGGTCTTCCAAGTTCATTGCACCACCGCAAAACTGCTAGCTGACCTTAATTAGAATATCATTAAATTTAAAAATGTATCAGCAAAACTCATAGATATTTAATTAAGAAAGTTAAAATAATAATTGCAAAAGTCATTTTATATTATGTTTTTGTAGAAATTTACAATTATCAATAATAACTTAAGTTTCAGAATTTAATAAGAAAAGTTTTATTGATTGTATATATATACTTAGAGTTATGATCAAAGTAATTACTTTGGTATTTAGCTTTGTCTTCATCTGATTTGCATTCCTCTATAGCCTGTGAGATGAGATCGCGTTCCTCTATGGTAAGTTTAGAAGCCAATTCCTTTGCTTGTTGTTTTGTCAGATTACCGAAAATATTTTCTACTTTACTTTTATCAACACTGTGACATGTCCTCTGTATAATGTAAGTATTGGTTGCAAGAGAGGTTGACAAACTTTTTCTTAACAGACAACTGTTTAAATGATATTGCTTTCGATGACAATGATACAAACGCGATATATTTCTACCAAAATATACAAATTCCTTTGGAAATAAAAACGCCTGTCTAACGAACACCGTAACCGTCATATCTATCACTGTGAGAGCTATGAAACAGAAAATCTGTCAATTTAGTTTTATTCGAAAAATTAGAACGACACTGAATTATGTGTGAACGAGTGCAGCATTAATGATTAAAATCAGCACTCAACTACGTCAAAAAGAAAATGTTTCAAGTATAAATTTTATGATAAGCGATTAAAAAGCAATAAATACAACATATCTCCAGGAGAATAAATCTGTAGTGATTCAAGCTGATTCAAGCCTGCGCCACTACTGGTCACGTTCGATTTCGATGATGACGACATTGACAACATGTATGTATGTATCGAATTTTTGTCGGAATACATATGAACATCGGAATGAAAATAGTGTCAATGGTTATGAAAAGTTTAGATCGCTAACCTAGATAATTAATTTGTTGACTATGTTTAATTTCCAAAAAACTTCTTTATGGTGACTAGGGACTTCCACGAGAAGCTGGAGCAATTGATTAGATAAAAAGTGCAATTCTTTGGTAGGTCATACAGCACGTTTTATGCATTATTTCAGAAGTTTCGTATTCCTAAAAGTCCCCAGCCTCTCATAAAAGTTACTAAACATATCATAAGTGAGCAATTAAAACTAATTCGTGAGTAATTATAGGCAATTAAAGAGTAATTTTTTTAGCTATATTTCATTAATATTGATTAATGTGGTAAGTCAGCTCCACACGGGTGAAAATAAGCGTATGTTACAACTATATTTATTGAAGACAACTTATTTCACGCATGTTGCAGTTTTTTGTCTCTATAAAAATCTTATGCGTCTTTAGTTTGTGACCCGATGATAAATCGCAAGATTCAAATTTTCACGGCAATATTGTCTCTGAAATATTACTAGATTTTTCACAGAACGGTCTATGAACAACATTTTCCTATCTAGATTAGTCAGTACATATGGCTGTCAACGTGAGAACGAAATTGTCTTAACTGATCTTAACAACGCCGAGCTTGATCACTGTTAATCAGTTAATCAGTTCATTGTTCATTCAAAAACAGAAATCTGTTTTAAGTATATTATAACACGTTGTCTTTTGCATCTTCGAATTTACTTAAATTCTGTCGTCATCAGTTCAGTACGTACAGTGAGTGAATAACTGGTGATTACATTGAGTCACTGGAAGCAATTGTCAATTTAAGCCCGTCAGAAATCCAAGATTCGTCATTATGTGTGCGAAAATGGCATTTCAGCACCAAGCTGGCACGGCTATGAAGTGCTTAAGTGTACGTACCATGTTATTCAAGTATAATTTTCACATACTTGATAAGTACTAATTCGTAAATTATCACGTTTCTTTTGGTAGACGCCCGTAAAATTTCGTATCTTACACTATCTTCACCTACGTCTTTGAATAACAAGTAATTTAAAAACAAATTATATTATGCTAGAGCTTCATAGTTCAAATAGTTTATTATCAAATGATTTCAGTATAGTAAATGACAAATAGCACCATTAATTTAATGTTTGAAGTGTTACGTACTTCTTTTAGATACCAATCACATTACACAAGGAAACGGAAGTCAATGAAAATGGGGAGAAAGTAATGAAATGTGGTTTCAAGATTGGTGGTGGAATAGATCAAGATTTTAGAAAAAGTCCCCAAGGTTACACAGACAACGTAAGAAAAGTTATTAGAGTATCCGGTATTATCATTTGTCAGTTATTTTAACAAACAATTTGATATAATTGGCTATTGCATTATTTTAGGGTATATATGTAACCGAAGTACACGAAGGATCTCCAGCAGCAAAAAGTGGTCTTCGGATGCATGACAAAATATTACAATGTAATGGGTATGATTTTACCATGGTCACTCATAAAAAAGCAGTATCTTATATCAGAAAACATCCAGTATTAAATTTATTAGTAGCTCGCAAAGGTGTGACCAGTACTTAAATACCAAATGAAATGTTTACACAATATGAGAGAAGTATTTATTTCACTTAATACATTAACAAAGTCAATTTATTTGAGCTACATCTCTGCCAAATATCAGATTAGTTTGTAGCCAATAGTAAGATTATTTTAATTATTGAAAATCGAAAGAATTGAAATTTGAGTATTTTATCATTGTGACAGTAATAAGTGTTCAATATCCTAATTGAGAATAGAACAGAATAAATTTAATTCAATCGCACTAGGTGATTAGTTGAAACGTTTAATTTGCAGGTGTAATATTCATTTTTCATTGCAGTAGAATTAGAGTACTAGAACAATAGATTGATATATGTATAAAA